AAGCAATCTACCCTCCTGACCCTCCAGAGTTCTAGGATTACAGGTGTGGGCCACCACACCCAGTTTAAATAAAACTATTCTTTAATTATTTTTAAATTTCAGATTAACATGAGAGTACAAACGATTCGGTTACATTGTTTGTATTTGTTAGCTAAAGTCAATTTGAAGCTAAGCCCTTGACCCAGAGGGTGTTACATATCATTATATCGGTAATCATACTTTCAAGTTAATGTTGCCCTTTTGCTATGTGAACTTTGGTATTTGTGTTTTGGTAGGAAAATATAAGAATCATTTAAAGTCAAATAATAAAAGTAGCTGAATGGATAAAATGATAGAAACACTGAAATACTTGAAGACACTAAAAAAAGTCTTGCTCACAAATTATTTATTCAACAACATGTAACAAACACAAGTTTCCCTTATTATGTACCCGTGTCCTGAATATGCAGGAGAATCTACTGAAGCATTTTGTATGCAGAATTAATTTCTACTTACACAGAAGATCTACAAAAGACATGAGCTTAAACTGTTGTGATTAAATCTGATTTGGCTTGAAAAAGTAGAGGTGTTCAATTGAAAGAATAATTAAATATTGGAAAAAGGTTTCCCATCAAGGTTGTGAAAGGCTGAAAGAGTTATAAAAATTAGACCAGCACTCAATAAAGATGGATGTTGTTTTGGGTGCTGTGCTGGCCAGAGGTTGGTAGCTAATTCAGAGAAGCCTTTGGGTTCTCTTCCAGCCTCGATTCTCACATTTTCTAATAGCAGTTTCATGGCCTCACTTAAACATCAAATAGCAAAGAAAATGGATCAGACAGTCCAATCTTGCACAAAAGAGAACTGAAATTTTATTTAAGAAATTATATAGCCAGATGCAGTGGCTCATGCCTGCACTCATCCCAGCATCTGGGAGGCCGAGGTGGGTGGATTGCTTGAGCTCAGAGTTTGAGACCAGCCTGAGCCAGCGTTAGACTCCGTATCAAAAAATAGTCAGGCACCTATAGTCCCAGCTACTCTGGAGGCTGAGGCAAGAGAATCACTTGAGCCTAAGAGTTTGAGGTTGCTGTGAGGTATAATCCTATAGCACTCTACAGAGGGTGACAAAGTGAAACTCTGTCTAAAAAAAAAAAGTTATGATAGTAGACGCATATAATGCATTTGTAAAGCAGCCGTTCATTTTTTTCCGTCTTTCCTTTTAGGAAGATATTTAATGAGCATCCACTAGGTGCCAAACACTGACCTGGGAGCTTGGAAGCTGTAGAAAGCCTATGCTTTTGTGAAACTTGCATTCCAGTGGGGAAAACAGACGAAAAAGAGATAGACGAAAATAGGCAATAAATCCGGTAGTGTAGGTGCGATGCACAAAGACACACTCAGACGAGAGAACGAGGGAAACAGGAGCACTAGTTCATTCAGCCCTGGGCAGCAGAGAGGTACGACCTCTTTGAGAAGGTAATATTTGAGCAGAGACCTGAAAAAATGCAAATATCTGAAGGAAGGAAGGTTCTCTAAGCAAAGATCAACATCACAGACTCTCATTTGGTTTTTATGTTCAAAGAAGGAACGGGCAGGGGGAGATTTGTAGAACGTGAGCTCTGAGGAGTAAACAGGGGCCAAATCCAGGGAAGACTCACAGGCTGTTGTGAAGATGTTGAGTGTTACTTTAAACATAATGGGACTCTGACAGACAGCTGAAAGAAGGACAGTGATGATCTGATTCGTGACTTTAAAGACTTGCTTTGGATGCTATAGAAAGAATAGATTTGGGAGTAAGAACCTCCATATTAGAGGCTATTGAAATAATCCAGCTAAGAAATGGTGTGGGTCTCACCAATCACCCCTATGGTTCATCTTATAAGGGTACCTGTGACTCTCTCTAAATGTAGACTATAAATGTCTTAACACAATAACTAAGAAAATGACATGAAGGCTATGTTAACCAGTTTGATGAAAATATTTCAGATTGCATTTAAAAACAGCACACTGTACCCCATGACAGTATTAATGTACACAGCTATGATTTCATAAAAAAAAAAAAAAAAGAAAGAATGAATGAAATGGTGTGGTTTCTAACAGAGCGGGATGAGAAGCAATTAAGTTCTGGATTTTAAGATGTAACCAACAGGATTTACTAAAAGATAAATTGTGTGTTATAAGGAAAAGAGAGGAGACAAGGGTGATCCCAAGTGGTTTTGTCTGAGCTACTAAAAGATGGAGTGGCTGTCACTTGAGAGGGGACAGCTTCTGGTCGTGCTCACTGGGAGGAGAGTGAGATCAGAGACTCAGTTTTTGATATGCTGAGTTTGAGAATTCTATTAGATGCCCTCTTGGAGATGTCAAAGAGGTAAATCTCAAGAACGTGGCACCAGGTTAGAGGTCTAAGTTGGCAATATTAATTTGCTGGTCTCCAGTGTATAGATGATATTTTAATACGTAGTAAGATGAGGAAATAATCCAAGCTGTAGCCTTGTGATATACCAGCTGTTAGTGTTAGGGAGGTGAGGAGAAGCTATAATAAAATTTGAGAACAAACAGCCAGGCTGTGTCCCAGGGGTTAGGGGGAGAATTGGTTCAATATAGACTGAGTGATCAATGTGTCGATTCCTGTTGACAGGTCTAGTAAATGAAAACTGAGAAATGACGCAGACTTCAATGAGATGGGAGACCACTGGACTGCAGTGTCCACTGAGGTTTTTGATGGAATGGTAGGAAAAAAACAGAGAAGCAGGAGGTAGATCAAGGGTCTAGGACACAAAGGGGAAATGCAGGAGACCCCCTAGGAATGCTAAGATTTCCATGTTTAGAAAACAAAGCAAAATAAAAGCTGTTGCAACAATTACTGCCTTATCTGATGTAAAGCAGTTTCTCTTTTATAGTCTCACATTATTCCACAAAGACATGCATTGATGGGAGGTGACTTAACAAAAAAAAGGTAAAAAGAAAAAAACAAAAAACACTGTATAATAGCATGCAGTTCTATTTCTTAAAAGAGCATTTCATAAAGAATATTTTCTATATGAGAAAGCTGAAGACATAGAAGGGCTAACTGATGTGCTTAACGTCATACAACAGAGTGTTCAGAATGGACTCTGCACTCTTGACACTAATCAAGGTTGTCTCCTTGAAGCAGTGCGCAGGGTCCCTCACCACCTGACTGTGCAAAGTGCTGTGTAGGGAATAAACAGAGCAATTCCCCAGTGAATAAACTGAGAGAGGTTCCCTTAAATAGTGTGGACAGGAGCTCCAGAGGAACAAAATAGACCTAAGAGTGAAAAGAGACCAGATCTTGAGGGGCCAGAGGGCAGGGTTCCTCAGGAGGAAGAAATAAAAAATGCAAAGTCTCTGACAGAAGAAAAAATTGATGTTTTCTTGGAGTAGAGCAGAGGCCAGCCCAGGATCTTGGAGCACAAAGAAAGAGCAGGAGAGCAGAACAAGCGAGGTTAGAGAGATGGGCAGGGGATAGATCATGTCTGGCTTCACGGACCACATTAAGCTGTGTGGCTTTTATTATAAGTGCAAGTGAAAGATCATTTTTACTTCTCTATGCTGGCTGCTAGAAAACTGAAAACAAAATGTATGGCCCATCTCTTCATGATATATTGCAACACGCTTTTTTCTGGCTGAACCTTTTATCTGACTTAATCTTACCTTTCATACCATACCCAGTTCCTCCCCTTACTCCAAATCAAACAAGAACAACAATTGATTGAATTGCTTTCTTTTTAAAAAAACAATCTGGGCATAACTTAACACAAGTTTATGTGTTCACATATTAAAGTTAATGCATAACCTTAATAATTATTCTTTTTCTGGTTAGAGTAGGCAGACATTGGGTTCTAAACGTGGAATTGCCATTATATGTGCAGCTAATCCTAAGAAAGCCACTAGATGTTATAAACCTCGATTTCTTCAACTCTTAGAAATAAAAAGACACAATGTTATAAGAAGATCATAAAAGATCTTGAATGAAAATTATAAATAAATTCATACAATTATTATCCTATAAAGAAACATACAATATGGGATCAAGTAATTTTGGGGGGATGAATGCATTAATGTTTGAAAATGAAGTAATATTATTTAAGGTTTTGTGTAAAGGAAGGCTTAATTTACTAGTCAAACTTGTCTAAGCAAAAATATCTCTTACAACTAAATTACATGATTTTCAGGTTTAGTTTAGAAAAGTAATCATAAATTTATTAGCCTTTCCCCATTCCTATAAAACCAAGGTATAAATCACAAAAGAAAGAAACATATTCGTACCAAGCACAGTGAATAAAGAAATTATAGCCTTAGAATATGGGAAGGGGGTGGGAGAGGGGGGTGGATGGGGGGAGGGAGGGAGATTGGTGGGGTCACCTCTATGGTTTATCTTACAAGGGTACAAGTAAATCTTTCTAAAAGTGGAGTATGAATGTCTTGGCTCAATAACTAAGAAAATGACATGAAGGTTATATTTGATGAGAGTATTTCAAAATGTATATGAAAACAGCACACTGTACCCCATGATTGCATTAATGTACACAGTTATGCTGTAAGAAATAGAAAAAGAATTAATATCCATAATATGAAGAAAAAATGATTAAAATCAAACAAACACTATAGCCATAGGAGGAAAAAAATGGGCAAAAGACATAATAGATTCAAGTTCATAATATTGAGACTGGTGTGATATGGGCAACACACAACATCGTGAGTGTGGCTGCAAATCTTGTAATCTATACCAAGATATTAACCTTTTACTAATGTTACATTAACATTGACCATAGTAGTTTCACATTTAGGAATTTCCTTCACAGAAATGAGAAACAGAAAAAAAAAAAAAAAACTGGAAGGACTGTAAACATCACATCACAGAATATGAGTGAATAAGTTTGACAAATTTAAAGGATGTAATAAAATGCAGATACTAAGGAAGTACAATAGAAGAGAGTAGGGAACCGTGACTTATTTGGTTTTGACTAGAAACAATATATAGTTGAACACAAACTTGATAGTATGTGCCGGCTTTGGTAGCACAAATACTAAAATGAGAATGATATAGGAAGATCAGCATGGCACCTGCACAAGGGGGACATACAGATTCGGGAAGTGTTCCACACTTGAAAAAAAAAGACAAAACATGCATTCATAATGTAATAAACTGCTGTCAAGTATATATTCATAGAAAAAATTTTGGAAGGAAATACAAGATGATAGCAATGACTGTCCACAGTAGAAATACTGGCAATTGATCTTTTTCACTGTATGTAAAATACTGACAATGACCATGAATTGTCTTTGTAATTAGTAAGAAAAGGAACACACGCAGTACAATTACACATTATGAAATAAAGTGAACCTGCCAAAATTTTCTAAGCTTTTTGATGTGAAAATGCAGATTATGTTTTTGTGTACACATCTGTGCCTGAGTCCTTGGGCCCCTGTGCCTGTGGGAGAGGTGCGGACACACACACATCATGGGTGACAAAATGATACAATATGATAGTACACGTATTTCCGGGTATCTACATGAGGGGAATGAGACCAGCACTTTTCATGTACACCTATATCTCAACTTCTGTTTACTGAAGTTTTCTTTTTTTGTTTTTTTTGGCCGGGGCTGGTTTTCAACCTGCCACCTCCGGCATAGGGAGCCGGGGTCCTACTCCTCTGAGCCACTGGCGCTGCCCCAATATTGAGTTTTTCTAATAGCATAATGAAGGGGTTGGTTACTTGGCCCACGGCTTCATTATATATTGTCTCTAACTGCTACTCTACTACAGCAGCAGATTCGAATAGTCATGACATAGGAGCCTCGCCCACAAAGCCTAAAATATTTACTATGCGTCCCTTTACAGAAAATGTTTGCTAACTCCTAGTCTAATAGTCCAACAGAGTCATACTTATTTTTAAGTATACTTAACAAATACTAAATTAGATAAAAATATTTTATCATGTGATTTATATCGTACGCCCATTAAAATAGTTGTGAATAGTCAGAATAACATAAGAAATATTTACAGGGTAAAGATTAATTTTTAAAAGTGAATACAAAATGCGCACATAACAGGATCAAATGACATCACAAAAATCTATGACTAGAAAAAGACTGAAATAAAATATACCAAATTTTAAGAATAGTGTGTTTGAGGGGCAAGGACACGAGTGATTTCACCCTCCTTTTTTCTAAGTTTAGGGTGTTTTTCTCAAACATGTCATAATGAGTATGCTTTGCTTTTATAAGGGAGAAATAGTAGATACGTTCTTTATAAAATAATATTCAAGAAGTAAGCATCATGGTGCATTATGGCCCATACTTATACATTTAAAATACAAAAAAAAAATTACATCAAGTTTTATTTTTAGAAATTAAACAGCAGAGTAAAAAGTGAAACAGCTGAACATCATATAATTAGCTTAGAGAATTAAATTACTCCGTGCTAGCTAGATTATTGATAGGTTTTATTCTTGAAGGGAAGCAGGGAAATACAAGTGTCTATTCTGGAGCTCTCTAAAGACTGTGTACATCTAAGTTCATCTTTAAAAAGAGTCAAGGGAAGAGAGATAACAGATAACTCATGATTACCAATTAAGAATTTATCTTCTAATTATTTCTCTGTAATCCACAGTTCAGTATTTATGTCTTAAATGAGCATTTGACAGACGCATAGCTTTGCTGCCTGAGGTTATAAAAAACTGACATACTACATGTATAAGAACAGGTATTACTTGATCATGTATAAACTAAGCTTAAAAATGTATTGTGGTTATGGGATTGCTAAACATAGAAGATAAATGTATAATATTAAGATACTTGCCAAACAAGAAGTCTCACAATGATTTGCTACAGTGCAATCCTGTTGTAATAAAAATTCATTTCTGTAACTGGTGTAGAATCTCTGCTACAAAGTTTAGTAACTGAAGTAGGTGACAGAAAGGGAACTAAGTTGCAGAATATGCTGTGGTTGGTCCTAAGAATTAAGCAATTATGTGCAGAAGAAACTTTCCAAATGGGGACTGTAACATGTTTTCCTTCTAGAGAGGAAACTCTCTCATTACCTACTTTCAAATAGGTCCATTATAGTGGTGGCAGGGGATTTAGAAAAGAAAATTGCAGTGATTGACATTTTTTTTTTTTTTAGGATGGCCAATTTTTATAGGAACAGAAATGATAAAAGCCAAAATAACAATCAATTCTCACTTGTGTATGGGGGATTTATGGACATATACGTGAAAATCTAAGATCTGGGTATGTAAGACTATCAAATCATTCACTTGCATAAGTTAGTTTTGGGAAAACACATTATATGTTCTTGTTGTGCTCAATCATTCAGAAGAATGTATTAAACATATCTTCCAGATGGAAAAAAATGAGTTAAAGTTTTAACTAGAAATATAAAATAAAAGATTGTATATTTAACTTCATAAAGTAAAAACATTTTTTTATTAAATAATAGCTGTGTACATTAATGCAATTATGGGGTACAATATGCTGGTTTTGTATACATTTTGAAATGCTTTCATCAAACTGGTTAACATAGCCTTTACCACAGTTTTTAGTTATTGTGTTAAGACATTATTCTTAGTAGATTTAACATGTACCCTTGTATAGTTAGTAGATTTAACAGTGTACCCTTGCAAAAGGCACCATAGGTGTGGTCCCACCAATTACCCTCTCTCCACCCATCCTCCCCTTTTCCCTCCCCTTCATCTTGGGCTGTAGTTGGGGTAAGTAAAAACATTTGATGAATAAAAAGTATGTGTGGTCTGGACAGGAGTGGTAGGTCATGCCTGTAATCCCAGCACTTTGAAAGTCCAAGTGAGAGGATCACATGATGTCAAGGAGTTGGAGACAACATAGTAAGACTCTATCTCTACTAAAACTAAGAAAAGAAGTTAGCCAAGTGTGGTGCACACCTGTAGTCCTAGCCACTCGGGAAGCTAAGCCAGGAGGAGCTGTTGAACTCGAGTTTGCAGTACAGTGAGGTATGATGAGGCCACCACACTCTGGCCTGGGTGATAGAATAAGAAAGACTCTGTCTCTAAAAAGCAAACAAACAAACAACAACAAAAAAGGGCAGTGCCTGTGGCTCAAAGGAGTAGGGCACTGGCCCCATATACCAGGGAGATGGAGGGTTCAAACCACTGCTCCGGCCAAAAACTGCCCCCCCCAAAAAAGTATATAGAATTTGTAGTCAAATGACAAACTGGAAAGAAAACTGGAAAAACATTGGCAAACACACACCACATCAGGGATAGAGAGCTGATTTCCTAAGCATATTAAATATTTACAAATGAGTAAAATAGGCCAATAAGTCAATTTTCAAATGTACAAAAAAGCAAAAAAAACAACATCTTGTGTCTTCCAATAAACAAAGAGAATATGAAAAATGAAAATTAGAATTCCAACACAAATTCTGGTAGGTAAATTTGTTCCTCACAGGGACATAGGTTAACTATTCTGAATGGCTTTACAAGTATTGTGGAGGGGAAGAAATTAGTAAATGGTCTGTGGCTGGGAAGAGGCATGTTATCCACATTGTCAGTGCTGGGTGACACAGAGAAACAAGAAATATTAGAAAGAATGTGTTTACAAGACTAGAGTTAGAGACATAGCAGGAACTCAACGTTTACCCTAATATATTAATAGTTATATTGTGAAAAATATAGTGCCCTGTGTTGTGACAGTGGCAAGATAAACAGGGATAATTTGGGGAAGAGAGAAGAAATTTATCAATTTATGATTATAAACTTGAAATTATTCAAACCTTTCAACCTAATAACCTCATTCCTAAGACTAAAGAACAAATAAAAAGTTTGGCTAAATTTATTAATAAAGATGTTCACTGTAGCATTATTTCCAATATTAAAAAATGTAAACAGACATAAATTCTGAGATTTAGATCATGGCTTGGCAAATTACAGAATACACCTTCAATGGAACATCATACAATAATGAAAGTAGTATTTTTAAGAACAACAGATAACAATTAGGAAATGGGAAAAAAACAGGTTATATTTTTGCACATATTATTAAAAAATATGAATAGATTTCAAAAACCATTTTTGTAGCAAAATAAACCCATACTAACTTATCACAATATGTTTGAACAGGATCTAGTCTGAAGCACTAAGGAGGGTAAGACATCAGTTTAAAAGGAGCCTCTGTAGGAGAACATGAATTCTGCTAAAACTGAAGCAAGAACAAATATCAAATTGATGGTAATGCTTGGAAGGAAGAATGATGAAATCATTATTGCTTTACAAAATGTTTATGCCAACAAAGCCCGCAAAGAAATCAGCAGTACACAAACAGATAACTCGATTTTAAGAAGGGATGAGATGATATCAAAGATGAAGGCCACAGCAGTCGATCACCACAGCAGTTTGTGAAAAAAATTAATTTTGTTTGTGTCCGAATTGAAGAAGACCAGTAATTGACAGCAGAAACAATAGGCAACACCCCAGACATCTCAGTTGGTTTCATTTACACAATTACGACTGAAAAATCAAGACTGAGCAAACATTGCCCAAACCATTGCAAGAGATGAATCACAGGCAAAAGCAGAGCTTTTAATGAAAATTTTAAGTAAGCGGGATCAAGATTCTGAAGTATTTCTTGAAATAATTGTAACAGGAGATGAAACATAGTTTTACCAGGACAATTCTTGAAGCCAAAGCACCATCTAAACAATGGCTACCAAGAGGTGGAAGTGTTCTAGTCAAAGCAAAAGCAGATGGCATAAGAGGGAAGGTCGTGGCCACAACTTACCGAGATGCTCAAGGCGTTTTGTCTGTTAACTTTCTCAAGGGCCAAACTACAATAGTATCTGCTTATTATGAAAGTGTTCAAGAAAGCAAGATAAAAAGCTTTACCAGAAAAATTCCCAGAAAAGCTTCCACAGAACGTCTTTCTCCAATATTTCTGCTCTTTATTCTCATCCAGAAAGGCCAATTTTGTGAGAATTTTGATGACAAATCCTTATGCATCTACCTTATGGTCCAGATTTGACTGTTTCTGACTTTTAAAAAAAATTTTAAAATATCTATAAGGGATGTCTATTTTTCCTCCAATCATAATGCAAAATATATTGCACTAATATGGATGAATTCCCAAGACTTTC